CCAACGGCAAAGGAAGACCTTTCTCTCTGTCTCTCTCTCTCACTGTCCACTCTGCCTGTCAAAAAAAAAAAAAAATAAAAAAAAAAAAAAAATAAAATCCTGTAAGGGAAAGAGAGCAATTTTTTTTTTAACTAGACTGTCTAAATTTATGATGTTATCATCTTTAAAATTTTGCTTTCATTTTAATTTTCGGAATAAGCAGTCAAGGTGCATAGACCTTATTTAAAATCTAGGTGTAGGGCTGGTGTGTGTGTGTATATATATATATAATTTTTTTTTTTTTGACAGGCAGAGTGGACAGTGAGAGAGAGACAGAGAGAAAGGTCTTCCTTTACCGTTGGTTCACCCTCCAATGGCCGCTGCAGCCGGCGTGCTGCGGTCGGCGCACCGCGCTGATCCGAAGCCAGGAGCCAGGTGCTTCCTCCTGGTCTCCCATGGGGTACAGGGCCCAAGCACTTGGGCCATCCTCCACTGCACTCCCGGGCCACAGCAGAGAGCTGGCCTGGAAGAGGGGCAACCAGGACAGAATCCGGCGCCCTGACCAGGACTAGAACCCGGGGTGCCGGCGCCGCAGGCAGAGGATTAGCCTGTGAGTCGCGGTGCCGGCAGGGCTGGTGTATATTTGTGCACACTTATATGTCACAAAACTCGACTATATGGGGCCAGTGCTGTGGCGTAGCAGGTAAAGCCACTGCATTCAGTGCTGGCATCTCATATGGGCCCCAGTTTGAGTCCCAGCTGCTCTACTTCTGATCCAGCTCTCTGCTATGGCCCAAGTATAGAAGATGGCCCGAGTGCTTGGGGCCCTGCACCCCTGTGGGAGACTTGGAGGAAGCTCCTGGCTCCTGGCTTCGGATCAGCACAGCTCCAACTGTTGTGGCCATTTGGGGAGTGAACCAGCATATAGAAGACCCCCCTCTCTCTCTGCCTCTGCCTTTCTGTAACTCTGCCTTTCAAATAAGTAAATAAATCTTAAAAAAAAAAACTCAATAATATATTACTAAAATTCTCCAACCTCTGTCACCAACATTCCCATCTTATTCCTCTTTCTCACAGACCCTCCTTTACAAAGACTTCCTAATTCAAACTATATGCATGAATAATTTGTTTTCCCATTGAAAAATTTATCAGCGACATATAACTACCAATCAACACATCTAATCAAAATGAGATTATCAAGGTTATGAATTCTAGGGCAAAATCATCTGATACCGTATTGAGTTCATGTAGCACTTCAGGAAATATTATGCTGTTGTATTATTTGAAAATTTGAAAATTCCACAAGGAAATAGCTTGAAGACCCCATTATGGTTTTCAAACCCCTCCCCTTCTCCCACTCAGGTCACAGTGGGTCAGTGAACAGACTATGGTAGGGATAAGGCAGACAGGAAGATCCTTCTTGGAGCTCACTGGGACACCCACTGTCTTCTTTTGCTTCCTCATGTCCTGACAGGGTCTTGTGTTCAACTCAACCTCCTGATCCCTCTGTGATCTGCTAAACAGTTGTTTTCATTTCTTTCAGGGAAAAGGAATTGTGGAGCAAGTGTTGTAGCTTAGTGGATTAAGCCACCGCCTACAATGCCAGCATCCCATATCAGAGTACCAGTTTTAGTCCTAGCTACTCTGATCCAAATCCAGCTTTCTGCCAATGCACCTAGGAAGGCAGCAGATGATGGCCCAAGTAGGTAGGCCCTTGACACCCATGTGGGAGACCAGGATGAAGGTCATTTTGTCTTCAGCTTGGCCCAGCCACAGCTATTGTAGCTATCTGGGGAGTGATCAGTAAATGGAAGACTCTCCCTCTCTCTCTCTCTCTTTCTCCCTCTCTCTCTGTCACTCTGTCTTTCAAATAAATAACAAATAAATCTTTCAAAAATATGAATCATGTTCAATCATACATCCCACCATGTAAAAAATGAGAAAAATTGCTATTTTACATGCTTCTCTTGAAAAGGTTTGCTATAAATTCCCTTAATTCTATTTTGGAAGTCTTGTAACACAGTAATTTCACAGTTATTGTGTTTTTAAAGTACACTGTCTTTGATGAAAAGCCACCACAAAAATATAAGAATAAAAATAATAATAAAGCATAGCCTCTTTTTTCACAAAATAATAGTGCATAGAGAAATAGGACAAGATCAAAATCTGCCCTGCACTAATGCAGCATGAAAGAACAGTTTAATAAGGACAAGGAAAATGGTACATTATCTCATTTTGGGGGGAGGGAAGGGAATGAATTAAGGGCACAACAAAACGAAACTGAAAAATTGCTAAATGAAGCTCTGAGCAAGGAAAATGAAAAATCAATGAAGGCATGGAGGGGAAAAGGTACATTTTTCATCTTCATGATGCTTGATTGGGTTTGTGGAAATTCATTTTCAATTAATGTGTCTTGTGGCATTCAGCCAGGCTAGATATGAAAAAGGCACCTATTTTAATCAATTTTTCCTATTAAGTTTGAAGTAATATATAATAATAGAACTATATCATCAAAGGATCCGTTGAAACTGGCTTCTGAGGTAACGTAATCTCATTTGGTTTGATTTCTATCTTATATGAAAGATAACCCAACTTCTCTTTAAGGAAGGGAAGCGCACGCTGATTCTCATGGGTACCTAAAAGTGACTTGGCTTCATAAATGTTAGGGAAGATGAGAAAACTGGCTTCCCAATCTGAGTCCATTCACTAAGGAGGAAGAAAGAGGGTAGACTGGTACTAGGCATTTGCTGGGTTGGCTCATAATTCCAGGGGAGAGCGTTTGCCACAATGAGTAAGACACTACTTGGGACCCCCACATCCTATGTCAGACTGTCTGTGTTTGAATTCCAGCTTCCTGCTAATGTAGACCCCGGGAGGCAGCAGGTGATGGCTGAGGTAGTTAGATCCTTGCCACCCACATGGGAGACCTGGACTGCCCTCGTGGCTTTGGCCTGACCCACTTTAGGCTGTTGCAAGCATCTGAGGAATTAATCTGCAGATGGGAGGTCTTTGTCTGTCTCTTTTTGCCTTTCAAATAAATAAATACATTTCTAACAAAATAAACAACCCAAAGTGATTGTCCACACTTGAGGAAATTGACGTTCTAAGGTGTGCATCATTTGCTCGTCTTCTTAGCATCATCTAGTCCTTCGCAGAGCAGAGACCTAAACCCAAGTCTCTCTGATGCCAAATCCCAACTCTCACCCACACCATCCCACTCCCAGACATTTGCCAGTTTCCAGCCTCCCCGCCATGACAACCCACCACTGCAATGCTGCCCAGGAATTAGACAAGGCTGGAAGGAACACGGGCATGTGGCCTCCTCTTCACAAAGGATCTGCTGGGCTCCTAAATCATTCAGCTATTCTTTTTCCTCTCATTGACAGTAGAGACAGGTGAAATGGAGAAGTGGGAGGGAGCATATTTATCCCCAAGCTTTCCTTGATAGGTGCAGATAGGAGCCAAAGACATCCTATCCTGAACACTAATATCCGCAGAAAGAATGATTTCAGAACCATACAATGAATACATATGGAAGTAACGAGATCTATACCTGGCAGAAAACTGGCACTAAAAATTTTGAAAAAAAAAAGCTCCTCAAGTTCAAGTGCTCTGGAATAGGAATCCTCACCAGCACTGGGTAGGACTCCTTTGTTCCCTTCCAGGTGCCCTCCTGTCCTCTCCCCTTCCATTTGCCTGTATTGCCTGCCAGGGACATCTCTCTAGGACTCAGATCTGATCAAGCAACAGGAAGCCCTAGAGGACTTCAGAGCAAGGTAACAAAAGGCATTTTCCTTGGCTTGGTGCTGATCACCCACCACAACTGGTCTCATCCTCTTCACTGATCACTCCCTCATACAATCCAGTTACACCAGATTAATGCTCCCTGAACTCAACTATGTGCATCTCCTCTGGTCTCTGTGTTTGCATTGTTCTCCCTTCTATGGCATGACCTTTCCCACCTATCCATTCCCTGCCTTAAAAAAAATCTAACCCATCCTGCCAGGCCTGCCCCTTATGTAAAGACTCCCCACCCACACAGTTAGTTCTTATATATAGGCACTATGCTAAGCAGTCCTCATGCATTCTACCAGCCAGTCCTTAAAACCATCTCTGGAGGAGGTTCCAAGATGATCTTTGCTGCTTTATTGATAAGGAAACAATCTAGGAGATGATAAGCAATTTGCTTAATAAAGAAGCCTAGTCAGAAGCAGAGACAGGATGCAGAGCCACACAACTGTGTTCTCCGGCTTCTGTGTCCAGTATGCACAGCTCATAACTATGCTCGTCACTTGTCACACGATGCATCAGGTTCCCCCCCGACCCAGGCAGAGTTAGACAGTGAGAGAGAGAGACAGAGACAAAGGTTTTACTTTTTCCATTGGTTCACCCCCCCAAGTGGCTGCCACGGCCGGCACGCTGCACCAATCCAAAGCCAGGAGCCATGTACTTCTCCTGGTCTCCCATGGGGTGCAGGGCCCAAGCACTTGGGCCATCCTCCACTGCACTCCTGGGCCACAGCAGAGAGCTGGCCTGGAAGAGGGGCAACCGGGACAGAATCCGGCGCCCCGACCGGGACTAGAACCCGGTGTGCTGGTGCCACAGGCGGAGGATTAGCCTAGTGAGCTGTGGTGCGGGCCACAGGATCTAATGAGTTCAGATGTGAGCCAGAAAGTCCAGAGAGTCAGAATTCACATCCATTTTTACACTTGGTTCATAAACGGTGCTCCCCAAATATTTACTGTCTGTCCTTCAGAGAGGAGCTCCCTCTCAGCTGCCTCTGGCCCCTCCTCAACCTCACTCCTATTCCTAAGCCCAAGGCTGGGAGCCCTATAGGCTTCAGCAGAGGAGCAGGAGAACCAGAACATTCAAAGACAACAGCACAGCTGCTGCTTACCAAAGAGGACAAAAAGAAAATCCAGTAAGACAATGGTGATAGAGATCAAACCTCCCAGGAGTGGAGAAGGATGGGGAGAAGGAGAGACAGAGACCTCTGCATGTCACTTACACACACACAAAAATGCTCCACATCGGTTATTCTTTATTTGTTCGGCAAATATTTATTGAGCACCTGCTGTATGCTAGTGACTGTCTCAGATAGTAGGGAGAGGACCATAAATAAATCACACAAAAGTCCCTGCTCTTGCGGAGCTTACATGCTAATGGAGGGAAGCAGACCCCAAGCCCCACACATAAGCACAAACAGATAAGGAAAGGATACTACAAGATGTTGAGTGCCATGGAGGAAGGCAGTAAGGGAGGGTGCAGGGAACAGGCACGTAAGTTGTAACTAAAGACTTAAACATGAAAACCAAAGCTTTGAATTACAGAAGACAACTTTATGACAAATGAACAAGCAACACCACAAATGACAAACGACAAAAAGTTAACTTCACACCAAAATCAAAGATGTGTAAATTATAAGATATACCAATAAGCAAACAAAAAACACTGACTAGGAGATGGTAGCACCAAATACTTTTTGATAAGTGATAAATATCAATAACATGCAGAATTCCTACAAATGGGCAGGAAAATGATAAAACCTAACATAAAATGAATAAAGGATATTAACAACCAGTTCATAAAGGCGGCACCCTGAATGCCCAAGAAGACTGCAAAGTTACTCAACATCACAACTTGTTATGAGCAATAATCAGGCTGACGCAAATTAAAACATAAGATGCAATTTCATAAATAGTCAAAATTATAGTCCACACAGTGCCAAGTGGCAGTGAGTGTCGGGAAAAATCTGCCCTCCCTACATGACCGACAGAAATGCACACTGGGAACCATTGGGCAACATCTCGTAATGCTGAAATGGTGTCAACCCCACACCCTAGCAATTTTTCTAAAGCAGCATGGAGACATTTGTCATTGTGTGTAAAACAATAAAAATCTGGAAACAAATGAAACATCTATCCACCGAATAAATTACAATATATACATATAAAAGTATATTACACAGCCATGAGATGACTCACGATTCAGACCTCAATGTGATAACATACGGAAACAAAACTGGGGAGAGGAGTAAGCAGAAATTATATACAGCAACATTTTCTACAATACAAATTATTTTCTACAATACAAAATAAATTTTATATAAACTTTTAAGCCCCAAAACTAAGCTACAGGAGGTGACTTCAAAATATATGTGAAAAATGGGCATTACAAAAAGAAATTATACATGGATTTCAAAAATATCTGTACCAAAATAAACTTATCTTGTAATTCCATTTTCATGGACTTTTTGAAGTCCCCTTGCATAGTACAATAAATACATATACACATCAATGCAATAAAGGCGTCAAAACATGGCCTGGAACAATCTGCCTCTGGAGCAGGAGTGCCGGTGGAGAGGGAGGGAGGAAACACAGAAGGAGGAAGAGGAACAAAACTGTCAGGCATCAGAAGAGATTCTTTTCTTTATCTGTAATGTCTGCTTTGACTTAAAAAAAAAATCAGAAACAAATCTGCCAAAATTGTAACGTGATGATTCTGGAGAAGGATACATGCTTTTTTGTTTTTGTCATCCTCTGTAATTTTTTCTGTTTACAACTTTTCCTAATGAAAAAGAGAAGAAGAAAAGGACAAAGACAGCTTTGGAGCTGAAGATCAGGATGCGGATGGAGCACCACCACTCTGCTGAGAGACTGCCGGCTACTTATTTTTTAAGATCTTCAACCACAGTCGCTTGCGCTTAAAAAACTGGGCAATAGTATCTCCCTCAGAGGGTAAATGTGGGAATGCGAAGTCCATGTCATACTCTCAGAACAAGAGACGCATTCAATAGCTGGAACACGAACTGCTTAGCCTCACATATTTTCTATGGCCACAAACTGGGCATCCAAGTTTCTAAGAAACCAGTTCCAAGGCAGTCAGAAGCAGTCCCAATAAATATCATGTGGGTTCAATGACATTTACAAAGAGAAGAATATCTCGATCAAAAGGACAATTTCTATTATGAACACATTAATCAGTATTGTCATAAAATGAACCTGCAAGGGCTCTTCCTAGGCTACGAAGGGAAAAAAGGCTGACAAAATCATGTTCTTTCTATTTCACATCTTTGATAAAGTTATCTAAGGTCTTAAAATAAAGAAGTGAATTTAAAACCATAACATTTTCATTTCTTGTAAGTAAATTCTGCCTCAACTTTTGAGCAGCCCCTCCTTTGGATGGGGACGTGAGTGCCCATGTGACACAGCTGTAACCATAAGAGTCCAGGATGAAGGATCCAATTAAAGGCAGGGTAAGAGGACGGGGATGGAGTGGGTGGGGTGGAAGGGCAGGATCTGAGCACATATCTTGGGTTTGACAGGCAGGAAACCAAGTTCACACCCAATGTCAGTGCAGGCAGGGAAGGGGCAAATTAAGAGACAGCAGCAAAGGCAGACAAGAGCAAGCGGAGGTAGATCCTGTGACACAAAGGGACTCAGACTCAAGGAGATCAACAGGATCAGGGCCAAGGCTGGGGAAGCTGCATGACGCACCCAGGGCACAGTACAGAAGGGCCTCTAAGTCTGGGCACCACACCCACCACCTGCTCCCCAGTGAAAAGCTGACCTGGCCTCCAGGCACTGTCCGTAGCCCAAAAGAAAAGAAACTCCAAGGGCAAAGGAGAGAATTCCACCGTGGGAAAGAGTGACCCACCATGTCTAAAAATAACTGCCTTCCCTTCATTTGTGTTATCCTACTTTTTGAAATTGGGTAATTAATCTATTCCACTAGAACAAATGCCAGTGACCATAAAGGCATCCCTAGAAACAGCGAGTAACTACACTAGATGACAGATGCTAAAATCCGACTGCATCTCCCTTAAAGAATTCTGGAGACCCAGCAGAGCACCCGAGACCTGCTTCTAAAACAAGTGTCATACACAGGTTCATGATGCAAGAAAAATTATTCATCTGCTTCCTTTCCCACCCACTACCCACTTGCTCAAGCCAGGCAGAAGCCCCTAAACAAAAGATCAAAGGCAAGTAATGACAGGAAAGCATCAACATGCCCTCTCTGCCAGGAGAAGTAGAGGAGGAGAGCTAACCCACATCGGAGGGACACTGGGCTTCCCCTCGGGAGCCCAGCCTCTGGCTGCCGCAGGCTAATACTGCCATCACCAGGTGAGGAACCACCAGCACCCGTGGCCACCTCCAGGCAGACCTCTATGCAAATACAGCACACATGAAGTATATTTCACTTCAATCAATTTCAGCCCTTCTCCTTTTCACAAAGTTGGTTGAACTAACTCTATCCATGCAAAGGCCCAAGGTGAGAGAAGCAAACCAAACTCTTCTTAAGCTAACAAGAACAATGCTAAGTTGACTAGTGTTGCTGTTACCCACTCAGACAGGACACCCCCCCCCCCCCCGCAGCCACATCCCATAAACAAATATAATCAAACTACGTGGACACTTGTCTGTGTCTGTATTTTCTGGCACGCGCTCTGATGGGGAGCATTTCAATCCCAGAGTTCTGATGTTCTTCCGGCTCTCGTCCATCTCCTTAGCAGTTGTCCTTGGCAGTTTTCCATAAGCAAGGATTCATTTTCCAAGATTTTAGACCAGGCTCCACCTGGCACTTTCTGAATTATGTCTTTAGTAGTCTTTTCCATGGTTGCTGCTTTGATGTCTAGGAACCCATGTTGCTAAAAATACTCTGTGGCTCTCTGAGTTTCTTGACTGAAGTCGAGGCTGCACAAGTAAAGCTTACAGACAGTGTGTGGAGGCCCCCAGGGTCAGATTTCCCTTTCAATAGGGTGTCCTTACTGTTCTGTTTCTCCGCTCATCAAAGGTGTCACCTCTTCCCAGTAGATAATGAACAAGTGTTCTTCTAATCAGGAACAATAAAAGGAATCACTTCCAACCCACAGCAGGCTACCATTCTATCATCTTCCAAAGAGCCGGAGACTAAATCTGGAGAACAGCTCGTGCGACATGATCTGGAGACAGTCCAATTGAGTGGGTTAGGGTGGTAGGCTCAGTGCTATGGCTCCTTCCCAACCCCCTTGTGGAAAATACAGGTACTCAGAATCCTCTAAACCCAGGGCATTTGGTAAAAGCGTATTCTTGCATGCTGCACATTTCAGCACACCATACAACAGTTTTAAAATAAACTGTTGTTGGGGCCAGCACTGTGGCATAGCAGGTAAAGCCGCTGCCTGCAGTGCCAGCATCCCATATGGGCACCAGTTCGAGTCCCGGTTGCTCCACTTCTGATTCAGCCCTCTGCTATGCCCTGGGAAAGCAGTGAAAGATGGCCCAAGTCCTTGGGCTCCTGCACCCATGTAGGAGACCTGGAAGAAGCTCCTGGCTCCTGGCTTCAGATTGGTGCAGCTTTGGCCATTGTGGCCAGCTGGGGAGTGAACCAGCAGATGGAAGACTTCTCTCTCTCTCTCTCTTTCTCTCTCTGCCTCTCCTTCTCTGTGTAACTCTGACTTTCAAATAAATAAATCTTTAAAAATAAATAAATAAATAAATAAACAAACTGTGTGGCCAGTACATGCCTGAGTCATTCAAAATAGAAAAATTTTTTTTTAATTTTTTTTTTTTTGACAGGCAGAGTGGACAGTGTGAGAGAGAGACAGAGAGAAAGGTCTTCCTTTTGCCGTTGGTTCACCCTCCAATGGCCACCGCGGCCGGCGCGCTGCGGCCGGTGCACCACGCTGATCCGATGGCAGGAGCCAGGAGCCAGGTGCTTTTCCTGGTCTCCCATGGGGTGCAGGGCCCAAGCACCTGGGCCATCCTCCACTGCACTCCCTGGCCACAGCAGAGAGCTGGCCTGGAAAAGGGGCAACCGGGACAGAATCCAGCGCCCCCACCAGGACTAGAACCTGGTGTGCCGGCGCCGCTAGGCAGAGGATTAGCCTAGTGAGCCGCAGTGCCGGCCAAAATAGAAAATTCTTAGAATGAATTTGATTTTTTAAATCACTTTATGTATACATATTGTACTCAAAAGACAAGTGGCTAAGTGAGAAAACAGCAGAGAGCGCAGAAAAGAAGAGAGAAGTGCACCCAAAGATCCCACTGGGCTCAAGACCCCCAAAGGGAAGAAAGGCAAACCTGCATACTGGTCAGGAAATCAACATAGCTACTTTTGCTTTCAACTCACATTACTTTAGGCATACACAGCAGGAACTCATTCATCAGCAGTAACAACAGTAATAGCAGCTAGTACCTACTGGGTATTTTCTATGTTCCAATTGGTAGGTTAAGTGTTGTATATTCATCATCTCATTTAACTCTTATTAAAAAACACACCCAGGTAGATACTGCTATTTATCCCATTCTAGAGACAACTTCTAACTTCTTAAGGGCCACAATTAGTATTCTTTTAAAGAGGTCCTGTTTGACCAGGTGTAACGGCTCTGTATTGACAGGGAGGCTAATTTAAACCAGGACAAAGTCAGGCATGTGCACATGTGCACAGTGCAAATAGGGTCCATGAGAACCACTTTGGGTCTCTTTGTTGGTGGTGGGTTCCCAACTTCCAAAGACGTGGTGGATTCTGTCTCTTAAAGTCTCTATTATTTGGTTAGCAAGGGTACTTCATCCTACCTTAGTAGCATCTTATCTCCAGGTGGATCTGGATAGCATCTCTGTTTTTCACAATGGGGATACGACCAAGATAACCCAGCTCTTAGGAGTGAGCTGTCACACACTCCTCCCAGGACCAGGGGCTGGAAGGAGGTGAAGCTCCCCTCCTGGGACTTGGTCTCAGACTTGGCCCAGCTTTCTCACACAGGTGCTCCCAGTCCCTGGAGGCTGCGCACCATGGCTATCTCCCATTGAGCCCTTCCTCCTCTAGATTCACCCCCAGCCTTCCAGCTCAGGGACAGGAACTTCTGAGTCAGGCTGCCGGGAGTCAGTTCCCAACCCTTGTTGCCTACTGTACTCACTTACATCATTAAAAAAACAAACACACAAACAAAAATGACCTGTTACCACTCTGCCTCCCACCCCCATCAACCAGGTCCAGGCATTTTTTCTAAAGCTCCCCAGGTGAGTCTAACAGGCAGCCTAGGTGGAACACTAATGAGAAAATCAATTCACTGCACCTACGTGCTGATTAAACATCTAAATTATACGGAGAGGAGGGAGAGCAGCTACTTGTTGCAAAAGAAGTTCAAAGAAAGAACGTCTCCTTTGCAGCTGAAGAGAAACTCCCTTAAGGCAGTTTTTGCTGGAAGAAACATTTCCCAAATCACAAACAGCAATGGGAAATCAGAATACATGATAAAATTAGAGGTTGCTTAATGGTTGAACCGGAAAATAGCAACAGAACTCTTGTTCAATTGCTGTTTACTCAGATGAATAATGGATCATGACCCCTTGGCCAAAGTGTCAATCATCCTTTTGGCGGGCACCTAAGACTCTGGCTCTTCTCTCCATGGCCGGAAAGCTGCTCTGGTTGGCAGCAGACTGGGCCTTGGTGAGACAGGTGCACAGGCAGGAATGACCCTGCTGACTGTAGAAATCACACTGCAAGATGTGGGAAGGGGGCTCATTGCTCTGGGCTCAGGACCCTGCCTAGCTTGCCCCTCTTCCCAGCTCTCCTGATGCGGCCCACACCCTGGCAACAGCAGTGGGTAAGATGCATGACAGCAGGAGCATGGTTGCACGCCACCCCCCCCCCCCCCCCAGTAGCCAGCCCAGCACAAGGCAAGTGCTGCTGGATTTCTGATGAATGGATGAATGAATTTTTCCTCAAGTGTGATTTCTTTTCCGTCCCTTGATATGTCTCTAAATTTTCTGGTAAACACTCTTAAAAGTCTGTAGGGGTTGGGGGGCTTTGCTTTTTTTGCTTTGGGTAGAGCCAGAACCAGCTGCAAGAACTAGTGACGGGAGGGCAAGACCCAGTCCCTCATGTCCACCACAAAAGGAGACTTACTTCAGTGCAAAGGCCTAGCTTAGCAGGGGTATGCAGTTCCACACTCAATGGAAGACACCGCATTGTCTTTCTCCAATGAACTTGATCCCATAAGATATGTACCAATCCTTCATTTCCAAAAAGGACCTACCCGCTTCCCCACGAGCCCTGCTTACACAGCCAAGTCCTTACTGTCTCACACAATGGAAATCAAGTCGTTACTGAGCTAAAGACTTCAAAACCCGGGCCAGTTACTTGATATTCAGATTAGTAGTCGTATTATTAAAGTGATATTCCACTGAGGAGGGAAGAAATACATTGCTTAACGCTTACTGATTACAAGAACCTCAGGACTAATAATACCGGATGTGTTGAGCTAAAAAGAGAAGTTCATCATTGTAATCAACTATGTTTCTGCAAGCCATTTATGATCAAAATGACACCAACAATGGCTGGGGCCTGGATAGGCACCCCTGGGGCAAGCAAGGCTCTGAAGCAGACAACATCCAGACTTCATGTGGAAAAACAGAACTCGTCCCACATCCGTCACACTTACAGGCTCACTCTGATGCTAGGTACAATTTGCCTCTTAGTGCAGACAGAGGAACTCAAGATAAAAATCCACTTCTAAAGACATGGTTCAAGATTCCACAAGTGACCAATTCAGTAGCCCACACTTCTCACAATTTTGTCCTAGTGATTGCAAGTGATTTAGTTATGCGCTTGCTAACTCACTTGTTATGCAAAGTAATGATAAGGCTGTGAACACAGTGATGGTGCAGCCTGGTAAACAAGGAGCAACACTGAGCAGTCACCAGGCTGCCTTCACGCAGGCATTCTGAGTACAGAACACTGAACTGGGGAGAACACTAGACGACTCGCGCCGCAGCTCCTTACGTCGCAGGAATGTACCCATGACGAAGGGAGAAATGCCTCCCCGGGCCAGCCCATTTTAGCAATATCTCTTCATTTCGAATGAAGAGCTGGAACTTGCCTCTTTGAAAGCGCCACCCAGTGGTTGTGACCTGGCTTTGCATCCCAGTACAAAATACAAATACCTTCTCTCTCCTCCATTGCTTCCTGTGATAAGGAGTCATCTCCCGCCTCTCTCCCTGGCTATGTCTTCCCCAGTTCCCTCACCTACTCTCAGCTGGCCCCACTCCTCATTTTCCATGTCCCTTTTCTATAGATCTAACTTAAAAAGAAAAAGTACTCATGTCAATGGCTACAAAAATTGAAATTTTAAACCAAACTTTTTGCCATGTTAGTTAACATGGTATACTGGAAAAACAATAATTTTTCCTATCTGATTTTGATAGTTTAAGACTAAAAAGACTCTTTTTTTTTTCTCTCTGTTCACAGTTACAACCCAGCCAGTCCCTAGGTGGTACTACCACTGATGGTGCCCGTCCACATCCCAGCCTGTGACTGCGATCCAGTAACTGGGCCGTTCCGGAGCACATCATCAGAACTTAGAGGAGCTTCTGTGGGAACTATGAAATCACAGGAAGGAAAGGCAGGCGTAGGTGGCAATCTCTGTGTGCTTCCCTGTTGTCCTGGATGCATGCATGTATGTCTGTGTATGAAATATATACATATTGCCGCACTCCCTTCAAATTGCAATGTTTGTTATAATCTGGAAGTAGGTGAGAAAATAAGTGTCTCTGACTTCAGTAGTAGTCAAATCCTTGCAGAGAAGAGTTTAGCTGAATTAAAAGCCAATCTGAGGCGCTGCCATCGTGGCACAGCAAGTAAAGCCACCTCCTGCGATGCTGGCATCCCTGATGGGTGTGGTTTGCGTCCCAATTGCTCCACTTCTGATCCAGCTCCCTGCTAATGATCTTGGAAAGTAGCAGAGGATGGCCCAAGTGTCTGGGCTCCTGCCACCCATATGGGAGACCCAGATGAAGCTCCTGGTTCCTGGTTGGGGCCTAGCTCAGTGCTGGCCATTGTAGCCATCTGGGAAGTGAACCAGTGCATGGAAGATCTCTCTTTCTCTCCCTATCTCTGTAACTCTGACTTTGAAATAAACAAATAAATCTAACATAAATAAATAAAAGCCAGTCTACATGCGGTTTTTGTGTAATGGTTCTCTAGTGTTAGATCTGAGAACCACACAGACATCCCCCTGAGGAGAGGTGAGAGAAATGCCATGCCCGCAGGTAGTAAGTCACATAGGGAAAAAAATGGGAGAAAATAAACACCCTGGCCCCAGACCTCACAGGTATGAAAGTCAGAAACAGAAAAGCTATGCTCTGACAGCCCAGGCTCACTGAGATGCTAACGACAAAGTCACGCTTTTCCGTGGGCAATGCGCTCCTGAGGTCTACTGCTGCTAAGGCCATGGCAGCATCTCCCTCCCCGGCGCAGGGCTGGCCGTGCTCCTGCCTGGATGGGCGAAGAGCCTGTGAAAGTGGAGTGTGACTTCCTGCCCTGAGCCTCTGCCAGCCTTCCTGCCCTGAGCCTCTGCCATCCTTCCTCCCCTGAGCCTCTGCCATCCTACTTCTCCCCGTGATGTGTGGTGAGCTAATGAGGACACACACAATTCAGCCCAGTGTGACCTGGACTTTCCATCTGGGGCAAGACCTATCTAATGTATACTGTTTATTCTACACCCAATAAAAAAAGATGATCCCCTCCTCATCCTCCCAATTCCCTGACCCTAACCCCACTACGCTAATATCCCCAACATTTTATGAATTAATAAAGCAGATATACTTTTAATTCCCTGTCCATCTGTCATGTATATGAATTATTTATTAGAAGATATACTTTTAATTTTAATAATTCATTGGTAAGACAGATAACTTTTAAGAGCAGTGCTTGATATAAAAGGAAAGGTTTTCAGTTTTTCCACTGCTGACTAAATGTGCAATTAAATAGAAATCTTTTCTTTGCAAGTTACAGAATTACACCCAAAGGAATTCTCATAACCCTGTTAGTAGTGTTCTTTTTCTATCAGCTTGTTCTATCTTTAACTGAGCAAGGAAAAGCTACAATAACATGTGATTAGCTTTACCACAGCGTGGAGTTCCTTCTACTGAGCATTACCATAAGAAAGACAGAGGACATTCACACAAGATGCAAGAACTCTTTTTGTCTTAGAGAAACATAAACATCCAACTTACCTTCCTTTTTTATGAGCAAGAAGTGTAAGCTATGCCCAGCAGAGCAGACGTATAAGTTGGTTTCATGTTCCATGTCAGAGACATTAAAAGAGAAAGGGTGGTGGAAGAGAGAAGGATAAAGAAGCAGCAGGTGTGGGGGAAAGAATGAGAAAGGAAGGAGCAAAAAGGCAGACAGGGACAGGCATTTGGCTCAGCGGTTAAGACTCCATGTAGGATGCCCACATCCTGTATCAGTATCGGCGTGCCTAGGTCCAAGCCCCAGCCCCACTCTTCATCCTAGCTTCCTGTAATGCACCCTGGGAAATAGCAGGTGATGGCTCAAGCATTTGAGTCCCTGCTACCCACGTGGGAGACCTGGGTTGAGTAGCTAGCTCCCAGTTTAAGCCTAGCCCAAGCCTGGCTATTGCAGGCATTTTGGGAATAAACCTGTAGTAAATATAAGCTTTCTTTCTCTCTCTCTCTCTATGCCTCTTTTTCTTTGCCTTGCAAATAAATTAAATAATTAAAATAATTAAATAAATAAAAATAATTTTTAAATAAAGAGGAACAGACAGAACAGACAGACACACCAGAAATGGAAAAGACCAGAGAAGTAGGTGGGAGACAGAGCGTGCAGGTTTGGGAGCAGTGTACCCATTTCTGTCACACACTTGTGTGTCCCCTGGGGTGTCACTGTTCTTTGATCGTAGGTGAGTGTATTAAATGCACTTCACAGCTCTCTTCCCTGCAACCCTTTGATCCTTTGGAGGGATGCTCATTGGTCCATGGGGCTAAGACAGCAGCGGCCTGGCCAAGCGCTCTCAGAGCCACAGGCCTGAGCTGAGAGCCTGAACTATTCTAGGGCTTCAGTTTGCCCACCCTGGAAGCCGTCCTGGGCCCGCGCCTTGCACGAGGACTCACCTCCTCAACCATCTGCTTGACTTTCTTCTGCTGGCAGTGCACCATGTCATCGAGGTGTCTGATCCGCTCTCGGAGGCTGGCTGACGCCTCCTCCAGCTGCTGATACCTAACACAACCAGCAGGAAAGGCGTGTCAGTCCTCAACCCAGGCAGAAAGGTGCAGCTTTGACGAAAAATGGTCACAGACAAGGAAAACCGCACGACACACTCTCATCACTCCACTGGCCTCCTAGGTGGCTAACTACTCATCTGCCACCCACCACAAAGAGAACATTCGAGTCCTTTTCAAGTCACCACTTGCCAGTTTTAATCCTGCAAATGGGGCGGACATTTGGCCTAGTGGCTAAGATGCTCATATCCCATATTAGAGTGTCTGCATTCAAGTCCTGGCTCTGGCTCCTGTTTCCAGCTTCCTGCTAATGTGCATCCTGGGAGGCAGCTGGTGACGGCTCGAGTACCTGGACTCCTGCCGCCCACAGATATGCAGACTCTTAGGGAGGTTAACTAACTTGTCTCAAGCATCCCAACTTCGGCTCCTTTACTAAAAATTAACATATGGCTTTCTTTGCCTTTTAATTTCTAGAAGAGATGGTATACTACCCCCATATTTTCCAACCAGGAATTCATATGCTTATAGCAAAAGGACAAAGCAATGTTTTACTAAGCAAAGTTTGGAAATAAAACAAAACATATGTAAATGTATATATGTAAATTAATTTCCAGCATAAGTGGTATTAGTCACAGTTGATAAATTTTCTTATCAACAAGATAGAGTTCAAGGTTATGGGGAACATTTACAGACTGCACTTTTGCACTTGCAACAGCCTTGGATATATTCCAGTACACTCACAACAAGCCATGGGCTATAACATGTGGCTGAGAACTCCTGCCCTGGGGAGGGTATCTGGCCTAGTGTAGTGGTTACGATGCCAGGTAGGATGCCTGCGTGCCCCAGTGAAGTCTCTGGATCTGATACCTTGCTCAGGCTCCTGCATTGTTGGCTCAAGTAACATTCCTGCCACCTCGGTGGAAGACCTGGACTAAGTTCCCACCTCTTGGCTTCATCCTGACTGTTGTGGGCATTCAGGAAGTGAACTGATGGGGAACAGCACCCTTGCTCCTTCTCTCCCTCTCTGCCTCTCAAATAATTTTTAAAGAGATTTTATTTATTTGAGAGACAGAGACAGAGAGAGAGAGATCTTCCATCCGCTGATTCACTCCCAAAATGGCCACAATGGATGGGGCTGGACCAGGCCAAAGCCAAGAGCCAGGAACTCCATGCGGGTCACTCATGTGGGTAGCAGAGGTCCAAGCACGGGAGCTGTCTTCTGCCGCTTTCCCAGGTGCATTAGCAGGCAGAAAGATCACAGAAGCAGGTGGGAAAGAAGTAGCTGGATTAGAAGTGGGGCAGCCAGGACTGAAACCAGCACCTATATCAGATGCCAGAGTCACAAGCAGTGGCTTAACCCACTGTGTCCCAGGGGCAGCCCTTCCAATAAGTAATTTTTTAAATGTAGGTGCATTAAAAATATTTTTAAAAATATAATGACATACAATGTCAGTACAATGTCATACTTGTACAAGTTTAAGTCTACAATAAGTGATGACCCCATGAATGACAAAACAAGGGTCAACCAAAACTTAAAGGCAGGAATTCTAGCTGAGCCCTAAGTAATTCAGGAACCAGGGCCAGCGCCGTGGCTCAATAGGCTAATCCTCCGCCTAGCGGCGCCAGCACACCGGGTTCTAGTCCCGGTCGGGGCGCCGGATTCTGTCCCGGTTGCCCCTCTTCCAGGCCAGCTCTCTGCTATGGCCCAGGAGTGCAGTGGAGGATGGCCCAAGTTCTTGGGCCCTGCACCCGCATAGGAGACCAGGAAAAGCACCTGGCTCCTGCCATCGGATCAGTGCAGTGCGCCAGCAACGGCGGCCATTGGGGGGTGAACCAACGGCAAAAGGAAGACCTCTCTCTCTGTCTCTCTCTCACTGTCCACTCTGCTTGTCAAAAATTAAAAAAAAAAACAAAGAAAGAACACTCCGAAAATGATCGCAACCAACACAGCCAATCTGTAAAGAAGTTCTTCTGGTTTTTTAAACTCCTATGATGTAGAGTTACCCTGGCACATGTTCTGGATCTTCTTTGTCTCTCACCTAATACATCCAAATTCCTTTTATATATTGATATTTATTTATTTGAGAGGCAGAGTTACAGATAGAGGGAGAGATAGAGTTCTTCCATCTACTGGTTCACTCCCCAAATGGCCACAATGGCTGGAGCTGGGCCGATCCAAAGTCAGGAGCCAGGAGCTTCTTCCAGGTCTCCCATTTGGGTGCAGGGGCCCAAGTACCTGGGCCATCTTCCACTGCTTTCCCAGGCACATTAGCAGAGAGCTGGATTGGAAGTGGAGCAGCTGGGACTCGAACCAGTGACCATATGGGATGCTGGTCCCTCATATTAACGTACTTTGCCATAGCACCAACCCCCAAATTCCTTTTTAAAAGAAAATTTAGGGCCGGCGCCGCAGCTCAGTAGGCTAATCCTCCACGTTGCGGCGCTGGCATACTGGGTTCTAGTCCCGGTCGGGGCGCCGGATTCTGTCCCGGTTGCCCCTCTTCCAGGCCAGCTCTCTGCTGTGGCCAGGGAGTGCAGTGGAGGATGGCCCAAGTCCTTGGGCCCTGCACCCCATGGGAGACCAGGAGAAGCACCTGGCTCCTGCCATCGGATCAGCGTGGTGCGCTGGCCGCGGCGGCCATTGGAGGGTGAACCAACGGCAAAGAAAGACCTTTCTCTCTGTCTCTCTCACTGTCCACTCTGCCTGTCAAAAAATAAAGAAAAAAAATAAAGAAAGAAAGAAAGAAGAAAATTTAGCATTCTTTCTACATGTCTGTGAGATTTCCCACCCTGTCTCAAGAATTTTAATCAGTATAACAAATGAATTTTATCTTATTCCATTTGCAGATGCTTGGGACACCTGCATCTCATAACAGAGTGCTTGGGTTTCAGCCCCGGCTTCACTGGTCTATCCAGCTTCCTCCTTATGTGCGCCCTCAGAGGCAGCAGGTAATGGTCCAAGTACACGGGTCTCTGACACTCACATGGGAGACCAGATTGAGTTGCTGGCTCCTGGGTTTAGCCTGGCCCAGCCCTGGCTGTTGCAAGCATTTGGGAAGTCAGTCAACAGACAGGAATTCTCTGTCTCTCGGGAGCTGAGGACCCATGAGTATCTCTCTCGGAGTGTGACAGGCCTGGGTGGACAGTGAGAGAGAGAGACAGAGAGAAAGGTCTTCCTTTTGCCGTTGGTTCACCTTCCAATGGCCGTGGCTGGCGCGCTGCAGCCGGCGCACCGTGCTGATCCAATGGCAGGAGCCAGGTACTTCTCCTGGTCTCCCATGGGGTGCAGGGCCCAAGCACTTGGGCCATCCTCCACTGCACTCCCTGGCCACAGCAGAGAGCTGGCCTGGAAGAGGGGCAACTGGGACAGAATCCGGCACCCCAACCGGGACTAGAACCTGGTGTGCCGGCACCACAAGGCGGAGGATTAGCCTAGTGAGCCGCGGCACCGGTTCTGCCTTTCATATAAATTTTTTTAAACAAAAATGTCCATCAGCAGTATATATAATTCAGACACGCAACATTTTCTTTATTACATGTTTAATATAAAAAGGAGTCTGACCTAAGAATGAATGAATCAATAGACATAAATGGAAAGAAAGTTTATAAATATACTTTTATCGGAAACTATTTTTTAAACTATGCTTGCTTTAAAGGTTTCTCTAACATCTTTGATAACTACATCCTTTTAGTTTTATTAAGTTAAAAGAAAATGGCAGATATTCATTAAATATCTAGGCAATTTCCAAATAAGATAAAATATTCAAATATTGTGAAACACAAGTTGAAACAGATTTAATTTTTGCTTTCTTAAAATTATGTACACCCTGGGTGTATATATGATTGTATGGTTCTGTTAATAAATACATCAAATTGTTCGTGAGAAAACATTTCTAAAAAGTATAAAATGGTATCTGCCTATAGAATACAGGTTTACAATTGCTAAGGATTAAGACTGCAATTAACATATGTATTTAAAACTACCAAAGGGAACAATTCTACAAGCCAAACGTAAATGTGTTTTTGCTAAGAGATTATAAGAGAGGCATTAGGATATGGTTTCATTTGATGAAATGTGATATTGTGGCACAGCAGATTAAGCTGCCACCTGCAGCACTGAGGATCCCATATGGGCGCCAGTTCAAGTCCTGGCTGTTCCACTTCTGATCCAGCTCCCTGCTAATGTGCCTGAGAAAGCAGTGGAAGATGGCTCAAGTCCTTGGGCCCCTGCACCCACATGGGAGACCCAGAAGAAGCTCCTGGCTTCAGCCTAGCACAGCCCTGATCATTCTGGACACGGGGAGTGAACCAGTGGATGGAAGATTACTCTTTCTCTGGCTCTCCTCTCTCTGAAACTTTTCCAAATAAATAAATCTTTAAAAAAAAAAAAGTAATGTTATGTACTACAGAGGTTTTTTTAAAGGATATCCAAAGAGGAAGGAGGAACAAAGAATGTTTTAAGTAAAAATAAATGGATATAAAACATTGTGGGAAAAGAAGGGTCAAATGCACCCACAAAAACACAGCATGTCTACCAGCTAAGCCCCACCACAAGGGGCAGCCACTTACCTCTCCTTGTCAGAATCAATTACTTCCCCTGACATTTCTGTCTCATGTTCCAAGAGTTGGAGTTGAAGCTGATGCCGCTCCTAAAACAGACCAAAAGTGATGTTTTCATCAGTGGACCCCAAGCGCAGCAAGCAATTCCAGCACTAGTGTGTCCAGTCTCTGTACTTCCCCACCCAGGTTTACATACCCACTTACCCAGAGGCTGAAGTTCACTGATAGTGCCAAATCAGCTGGCATGTACCAATACAAATTCATATTTGTAAGCTGAAACTTTGTGTTAATTTTTATAGTAGCAATAGGAAACATATAGGTGTCAAGTTGTGCACTTTGTACACTCTTGGTATATGTATGCAAATTTTAAAGTTTACACTAGGGCCAGCACAGTGGCACAGTGGGTTAAGTCACTGCTTGCGACACAGACATCCTGTATCAGAGGACCAGTCTGAGATTTGGCTGATCTGCTTCAGATCCAGCTTCCTACTGATCCGCCTGGGAAGGCAGCGGACTGTCAGCCATGTGGGAGACCTGGAAGGCTCCTGGCTGTGGCCTAGCCTGGCCGTGGCTGTTGCAAGGGTAGTGAACCAATGGATAAAAGATCTTTCTCTCTCTCTCTATTTCCTAATGGTTCCCGCACCTCCCAGTAGTAACACCCTGAAGAGCAAGCATCTAACACAAGGGCCTTTGAGAGACACCCACATTAATATCCAAACCACAGCATCCCTAAAATAAGAGTGGTGAATCTTTCACAAGTGAGCACCCACTTGCCCCAGAAAAGAGCTGCTGTAAAGTTGGACAAGACCTAACTTACAGTACACTTTTAATTTTTCTTTAAGCTGAAGTACAAAAAATGCTAAGTGTATACCACACAATAATCTCTTCCATTTGTATACATCAGGATAACCACCCCTTAGATTAAGACACAGAACATTATCTGCTCCTTTGCAGATTACTACTGATCAGAAAAGGGGCTATTTCAAATACAATGCTCAATATGAGAGCATTAGTATGTACTAGGGGAGTCATTCAAAGGCACACAGTTTGTCCTTGCACAAAAGCCAAATCAGATGAGAGCAGGATACAAAGACCGTCTCACTTCCTGCCTACAGACAGGATGTTCCACAGCGCGTGCTGTGTGACAGAGACTTGGCCAGATTCCTGCTCTCAGAGATTTATCCCTGCAGGGAAGAGAGCATAAATTGGTCTATCTAATCTTAGCTAGATAAAGGAAGCATTTCTCTAGCCTAATGGGAAAGGAAGATTTAGAGAAAGGACAATAAATTTTCAATCATTAAAGAAAAAAGCAGCCTGCTTTGTGGAACGTTTTCTATTACTCAAAAGCTGGCAGGGAAGCCCGGTCCTCCACCTCCTCAGCTCCTCCAGCCCCACTCGTGTTGCATAAGGGCTGCCCACAGGAATCAGTGCAGAGAAACTAGACACTTAGGAAATTCCATGGGTACAAAGATCAACTATAAAACGGGCTCAGCTCAGAAAAGCTGACTCTGGAGCAAACCTGTTACAAAATACAAATCTGAACCACAGATCATTGAGCTCTTACTGTGAACCAGGTACCATGCTGGATTTGGCATGGATTCTCCTCCTTGGCTTTTCACGAAAGCCTTCAGGAAAGAACTAGCATTATCAGCATTTTACCAAGAAGAAACTGGGTTTGGAAAAGTGGAATAAATGCCCACAACTAGAAGGAGAAGCAACATTCAAACTGTAGGTCGGCCTGACTCTGAACTCTATGTTCTGAACCACTACCCTATCTGCCTCAAAGATGGTGTCACTGCCCAAACCACCTCCACCATGCTGCCGGCTCACCCTGGTTCTTGAAGCCTCAGTTAGATGCGTCACCCACAGTTAGCCAGCATCTCTCACTGCTGCAAGATGGGAATGTGGGAGAAAGTTCACCCCAGTCCCAGAAGGCACCTGTGTTTCCCCTATCATCACTGTCACAGCCTCCAATCAATGATGTTACCTATAAATGTGCCAATCTGCTTCCCCATAAAAGATGGGATTCTGTTTTCCCATGGGGTAGAGGTTAAGACTATAACTGACTATATCGTTTGCTCAAAGCCCTCTCACATAAAGATATTAGCTAAACAGTGACACTCCCCCTCAGGCAGCCATGGAACCCCAGGATACTGAACCCAACACAGCTCCCACTCCAGTTACACCTGGGCTTCCCAGGGCACTGCAGACAAGGTTATGCTGAAGACACTGAAGGGTAAGGAGACCTCTTCTCAGAATCACCTGGAAGCCTGGATAGTGACCTTGTACAGGCTGTCATTTCCCCTGCCTCCATCACCACAGTGGAGGTTCTCAGGATCCAGGATGCTAATGATGTCACAGTCACAGCAGGTCACCACTATGTGCAGGCTCAAAGGCAGCCAGAGAACTCTTCTCTGGATACTTGCCACAGCCTTGGCCCTAAACTCCCAGGTCCTCTCCCAGGCGCCAGCTGTCACTAAGGGTCGTCATCCTTTCTCTTTCTTCCATTCCTCCTTTCCTCTTGCCTCTCTCCCACCCCTTCTTCCCTCTTCTCCACTCCTGGTTTCCTGCCTCTGCTCTTTCTCTAAACTGGCTTCACTGTCTCAGGTGAGCTCCTGGCCTCCATGAGTCTCTCTGCCCACCTGTCAGCCTCCTGCCACATGCACAGAGAAATGTGGCCTTCCCCACTCCCCCAGGTGCCAGGCTCCAGACACAACAGGGCTGGGGTATTGTTGGGACATCCAAATAGGGCCTGATTACCCAACAGGTAGGCTCAGCTCAGGCAAAGCAGGGTTGCTAACATGTTAATTTTTGTGAAGAATTTCATATGTAATATTTTCGGAAACCATCAAAATAGTTACCATGGGGAAAAATGAGAATTCTGTTGGACTTCCTTACACTTTATTATATAGATCTGGCTCTGTTTTTAATTGCAAACTGGAGGGGAGGGGATGAGAGAGATGTTGAGGGCTTTTTTGATCTTCTTCAGATAGGCCTGCCAGGAAACCTGCGCTAACTCAGGGCAGTGTGGGCAAGTGTGTAACAGGCCCAAGGCTGTGTCCGTTACCTTTTCCATGCGCTCAATCAGCCTGTCCAGCTCCCCGATCCTCTGGTCTTTCTCCTCTAGGCTGATCTCTGCTGCTTGCATCTTTTTATTTGCTTCTTCAATAGCTTTCAGGAAACTATTGGTTTCTTCCTGCAAAAGAAACACCTTCTTCTCAGGACCGGCACGGAGCACCTAGATCCTTCCTTCATCAGGCTCCCAACAGCGCTGACCTTCCTCAGTCATGAGTTCTCTTAAAAGCACGACCCCGCAAACCTAAAAGTGCCTCACGGATCATAAGCCCAACCTCCACGATTCTAGTTCTCATCTAAGAATGCAGACACATCGTGTGGCTTTTTTTAAGGCATCTGGTTAAATTTTCTCCATTTTCCCCCTGGAGTCTTTATGTTCTAAAAATTGTCCTGATATTTTGACAGGCAGAGTGGACAGTGAGAGAGAGAGACAGAGAGAAAGGTCTTCCTTTGCCGTTGGTTCACCCTCCAATGGCCGCCGCGGCCAGCGCGCTGCGGCCGGTGCACCGCACTGATCCGATGGCAGGAGCCAGGAGCCAGGTACTTCTCCTGGTCTCCCATGGGGTGCAGGGCCCAAGCACTTGGGCCATCCTCCACTGCACTCCCTGGCCACAGCAGAGAGCTGACCTGGAAGAGGGGCAACCGGGACAGAATCCAGCGCCCCAACCGGGACTAGAACCCGGTGTGCCAGCGCCGCTAGGCGGAGGATTAGCCTAGTGAGCCGCGGCGCTGGCCCCCCCTGGAGTCTTTATGTCTAAAAATTGTCCAGAAGAAAAGAGCTGGTGAACACTGAAGAGATGCTCAGAGGATCACTGCATTTGTCAACAGTGCAAAGGGAAGCAGGGTTTGATCTGGAATTGAATGCACAATTCCCAGATCTTTCTCCCTACTACCATGCACCAACTCGCACCAAAGAAGAAAACCCCATCTCTGGCACATGTAAGAAGCCTAAAGACACAGGTAACTTCAAGGAATGCATGTTCTTCTAGGGAACTGAAGGTCTGAGCAATACAGGCTAACTAGTGACAAGTGTAACAGAATCCCACGGCCAAGGGTGAAGAGACAGAGTGGGCTTTGCAAGGACAAAGTTGCTTCCAGATGCATGAAAGAAAGAAATTTCATGCCTGGAGAAGATAGCGCTCTCAAGGTTTGGGGAGTCAAGGACAGAGAAAGAGGGGCAAATGGAGTAAGGAAGGGCACAGTTGCAGGCAAGCTTGGATGGTGGCAAATGCCCAGATTAGCTAGAGGAAGACGTGCATTTACAGCAGGGAGGGTGATGAGCAAGCAGGAAGGTAGGCTGGAAGGGAAGTGAATAGCAAATGAATCCATTCCTGGATCCCTCAGCCATGTCTGAGCCCACTCAGTGGCTTCTAAGAAGAAACCCGACCACTTGAGCTTCGTCGACAATGCCGTGCATCCCCTCGCTGGCAGCTGCGGCGTACGCACCAGGAGGGCCTCTCTCTCAGCGCTGTGCTTCTGCTGCTCTGCCTGCAGCTTCTCTTCATACTGGCTGTACAGCTTCTTGGTCATCTCTCGCAAGACCTCAGCATTGGCTTCTTGGGATGATTCCACCTGCAAAGAGACCCATCTCAGAACTATAGCTTTTGCAGGCTACAGGGCAATCAGCAATTTTCCCATCGCCCAGGGTTCTGTCGTGGAGAGAAGCCGCAGGCAGGAATGGGGCAGGGAGAGGAGGAGGAAGGAGGAGGGGTGAGTGGAGGCACAGAAGAAGAAAACCGCACTTTACACTGACATTGCTGGCGTCTGACAGCGGGGCTCACGTGAGTCCATTTCCAACAGGTGGACACTCACTTCTCTAAGCAATTCCATGAGCTGCTTTGGCCAAGCCAGACTCTAGGCTGAGATGTCAGCTGGGCTAAAATAAGAAATCTGGACTCATCCTTTCCACACTGTTGTGCTTTCCCAAATGTTCTGTTTGGAAACAGTCCAACCCATCTAGGCAAACACTAAGCAGGTGCCTCCCATGCCCTGATCAGGTCCAGCTTAGGAGAGACGAGCAAGCAGGACCACGGATAGTGAGGGCTGATGCTTCCTTTCTGCCTCACTTGTACTCTTCCTGCCACTGATTTTATCCTACTGAAGGTCTGCTCTTGTCCCTTCCTTCCAGGTTATTGTTTGTCTCACAGCGTTGCGGCAAATGGTTGCATCACCACTCGACAAGGGCAGGAATCTTCAACCTCAGGAGGTGATGTGATACTTATGTCAGAAATGCGACAAGTTTCTCTTGATGCCCTTTAACTCTCCCTTCTCATCACTGGGCAAGTGTTGGCATCTAGAAGCCACAAAATGGAAAATATCAAGCAGAGGTTATCATTAGCTGAGAGAGGATGGGTGCACCATGCACATCACTCCCAGTGCACACATAGACTGTGAGATAGGACTCTCTCCCTGGAGGCCTGCTCACTCTGCACCAGGTCATGTGAAAATATTCTGAGTCTCTATAACTTTATTTTTATATCTAGGGAGGTGAGGAGTGATAAAATAAGAGGAAAACGGCCGGCGCTGTGGCTCACTAGGCTAATCCTCCGCCTAGCGGCACCGGCACACCAGGTTCTAGTCCCGGTCAGGGCACCAGATTCTGTCCCGGTCGCCCCTCTTCCAGGCCAGCTCTCTGCCGTGGCCAGGGAGTGCAGTGGAGGATGGCCCAAGTGCTTGGGCCCTGCACCCCATGGGAGACCAGGAGAAGTACCTGGCTCCTGCCATCGGATCAGCGCGGTGCGCCGGCCGCAGTGCGCTGGCCGCGGCAGCCATTGGAGGGTGAACCAACGGCAAAGGAAGACCTTTCCCTCTGTCTCTCTCTCTCACTGTCCACTCTGCCTGTAAAAAAAAAAAAATAAGAGGAACAATAGAGAAAAACCTTTAGCTCTTCTGGTCAGATTGAAAACAAGCATCAGTCTCTTTAAGAGACAACTACAGGCTAAACTTAGAGCCTGGACTCAGGGAAGCAGCCAGGCTGCCAGGCTGCTTACTGATGTCCCAAAGTCTGATAAGAACCACCTCTGGAACCACTAGCAATGTACAAGATAGACACAAATAGCAGACTCTCAGTAAGTATTTATGGAATGGACAACTGGATAAAGCTTCTAAGCTGAAAAAAATATTTAAATCTACAATCTCAGACTTATAACCATAAACCTTTGTTTCTCCCAAAGTATCTTTTTTTTTTTTTTTTTTAATTTGAGAGGCAGACACACAGAATGAGTTTCCTTCTGCTGGTCTACTCTACCAAATGTCTGCAACAGCCAGGGCTGGGCCAAAGTTAAAGACAGGAATGCAGTCCAGGTCTCCCACATGGGTGACAGGTACCCAGCTACTTCAGCCACCACTGTTGCCTCTCGGGATCTGCATTAGCAGGAAGCTGGAACTGGGAGCTGGAGCTGGGACGCACACACAGGTTCTCCAGTGTGAGACGTGGACATCTGAATCACCAGGCTAAAAGAGGAGCTGACCTATCCTGTGGCTGTCTGCTTCCTTCCCCCACTCTCAGGGTGTTTGTGTGAAGGGCTTGCAGACGGTGAAGGCTGAACCCTTATGGGGTAGCAACAGAGTGTGTGCAACACGGCAACCCTTCCTCTCCATCTAGCCTGTCTGAAACCCATAGTGAGAAGGACCACAGCTCCCAGCTTGTTTCCCTACTTAAATCACCACCTTTCCTTCCCTGTCATATTCTGGTCTGAGCAATAAATTATGCTATAAATTATAAATTATAACATAGGCCTGCAATGAACAATTTTAAAACTACAGACTTAGGTTAAAAAAAAAGAATACACTTGGGAAATAATGTTTTGAAAGTCGTCCATGAGCCATTCATGGGTCCCCTGTCCCTGGGCAGGAAATCTGTCCACATTTCAAATGTGGGGACAGCACTAACACCTCCAGGGCGCTAGGGGGCCCAGCACAGGAATCTGCACAGCCTGCTGGGCAAGAGAGATGTTCCCTAGAGTCCTCAGCCACCACTGCTTTTGTTCCTGGGGAGACCAGAGTCCAAGTGCCACTGAACTGTGTGTCCCTTACCTCTGTTTTGTTAAGTCAGACAGGAAGATCTCTGGAGCTCAAAGAAAAATCTCAACAGCACAGGGCTATATCCCCAAAACTTCTGAAGGCCCACACCTGTGGCCATCCCGATTGCCTGCTAAGCAGCCTTTGAGGCCACCGGGAGCCTAGGGAGTAGTGCCCAGCGAAGATGTTTATGGACAGCTGGGACACAGGTACCTCCTCTTGCCTTCAAGACAAAGCCCTGTGGGGTGTGAAAATCTAATGAAGAGGAGAATGGAGAGAAGGAAATGAAAGAGTAGAGGATGGGAAGAGAGAGGCAAAGGGAAGAGAAGAAGGTTTGCAGGGAATCTCGACTCCACCTCCTTACCTTCATTTTTAGCAGCTGATTTTCCACTTGCGCCGCCTCTAACTGCCTCTGCTTCTCCCGTAGCTTCTCCACAGATGCGTCATATGTCTGCTGCAAATTTCGAATCTGATCCTTAATGTTGCTATTTTCCAAAGTAACATCCACGAGGGTTTTCTGTTTGGAGGCAAATAAAAACCAAACGAGATCTAGTGGCGCACAAAAGCAAGGCCTCTGGAGTCAAGCACTGGGACATCTTTGTCTTATGCCTCTGCAGGAGATGTGAGGACCCAGGGCCTCCCATGGTCAAGAGGTCTGCCACCCTATACTCTGATGGGCCAGGGAGCCTCCCCATTGTGTCCCAAAGCCGCTGCCAATACCACTTAGGGTGGACAGAAATGGAGAGAAATGTACTTTTTCCAAGGAAAATTGTTACTAACACATTGTTTCATGTGGAAAAATAGCATAGTACAATTCTATTTTGAAAAGTATGGCTACACACTGGTTCAAATACATATTTATGTACAGAGACAGGAAAGACTAAGGAGAAAATGCAAATAACAGCTTTCACTGTTGGATAGGTTTATGGATAATTATTTTTTCTTTTTTCTGTATTTTTCATATTCCCACAATGAAATATGAGTTTTATAGGATGGAGATAGCTCCCTTTTTTATGAAAAGAGCTGTCACGTCTGTACTTCCAGATCGCCTGTCAGGATAGTGACAACCAGGCTGAGGCTATGCCAATGCCTGCAAATGTCTCAGCTTCCCCCCGTAGGCAGAGAGGATAGTGACAAAAAAAGCACCATGGGATAGCATTTGATACAGGTCTAACATCTATCAAAAGCATGATAACTATTGCTCCAGGCCACCCACTGAAGCAGGAATATTTAAACAAATTGTGTTGCTATTTACGGCTTCAGTTTCTATCTGGCTAACTTTGCTCAGAGAGAAATGGCTTCGAGAACTCCTGCCGTCAGACACTGGGTTGTGGTACCCTCCACGCATCCTCAGGTTAATCAACAACCTCAGATCAGAAGATCCGCAAACTCTGGTGGTGACGTTTCTCACACCTTTGTCCTCTTTGTTGAATGATCCATCTGAAGCCTCCCCAGCTCTGCAGCTTCCCCTTGGGACAGTAACAAACCTCTTCTTCCTGAATCTTTTTGAATCAGGAAAGAGAACTTCTAATGGAAGTTATCAGGAATTACAGGAAATGCTGAAGCCATTTGGAAACATGGAATCACAGAACATCTGAACGTCAAGAGGGCTTTAGCAATCCCCTGGCCTTACCACTCCCCTCGCTGAGCCCCACCGCCTTTACAGGAACTAAATCCCACAACTACACAAAAACCTACAATCTGCACCAAGAGGCCAGGAGGCTTCTGATCCTGGCTCTTCCACTAGTTCTACGCCTTGTGCATGTCATGTCTCTCTGTTGGTCTCAATTTGTTCATCCATAAAACAAAGAGACTGGAGATCATCTCAACAGTTCTAGCTCCTACGTTCTATGAAATCTAACCTAGGCCCTGGTCTCACCCTTGATAATAATGACAGCAGGCAGAATGAGCAAGAGGAAGAGGCTGGGATCTTTCACAAATAAGAAGCCAACTACCACCACCTTCCTGACTATGAAACGGAAACTTCTCTCTCTCTCTCTCTCTCTCTCTCTCTCTCTCTCTCTTTTTGTAACAATGGTTTAATCTTTTAGTTTTATATGGCTCCTTTGGCTGCCCATGAGTAAGATTCTGAACATTAACTAGAAACCAACCAGGGTTCCTGTGTTGGGGCTGACCTTACTCTAACAGTAGATCTCTCAAATAAATGCCCAAAATATCAATCAGATGGCAAAAAAAAAAAAAAAAAAAAAAAAAGCAAGAATTCCCCAGAAAATACTTGCAAGTATTTGTTGTTGTTGTTGTCGTCCTAAGAAGAAACACCAGAAACACAGTACAGAGACCAACCAAGTCTGAACCCAGGTCAGGTAGCGCCCTTCTGGGCTGGCTGGGAGAGAGAAGATACTGAAGGGAAGGAGAGGGAGCCCTGGCAAGTCCCCTTGCTGGCAGGAGGAAGGGAAAACAAAGGCTACTGAATTTGCCAGACCCAAAGTGGGGCTTGGCCTGAGGCCAGGGGAAAACTGGCACACACAAAAGACAGCCAGGAAACAGTGGGGCTCAGAGGCGCCCCCTGAAATGGGCATCCCAGACAAACCCAAACACGGGCCCCACCCAGGCCCACTGTTGGACAGTAGCTGAGCTTTGTTGTTGCTACCAATGCTGTATCTGCTGCTGTCAGAGAACGCGAGCTTCTAGGGGATATGGAGAATCCCAACGTGAAAATGTGTTTGTTTATCCCGTAAATTATTTATATAGACCAGAAAGAATTTGAAATTGTTTGTGGAACTTTTAAGAGGAGTGTTAAAACAGCAAATGAAGTTGGAGGAGAGGCAAAAACTATTGTTTCTATATTTAGACACAAAAGCCAAGGGAAACATTTCCAGGGAACATAATGCTTTGTTTTGAACATTTTCAAGTTTATTTGCATGTGCAGTAGGAAAGGACAAGAATGGAAAGCATGTGAAAGGTTAGTTCCAAGAATCAAATTCATCACGAGAACATTCTCTCGCACTGGTCTGACGACACACATTTTCACAAAAGGAGGATCGCGGGTCCTTCTGCTTTGCTCTCTGCTACTACCAGACATTCTTTGGAACACATCAGATTCTTTCTCATGCAAACTCCTTTCTACTTTAAGAAAGCACACGCTGCAAGCCTTTGGGACATGCTTGCTATGAATGAGTGCAGACTGCCTTGGGTTAAGTCTGTCTTGTGTGTGTGTGTGTGTGTGTGTGTGTGTGTGTTGGGGGCTTTCCTGTAATACTTGAGCTACAGGGAAAAGGGGCCGCAGTGTGCTGTTTGAGGCTTGGCACTTAGGATTCCTCATAAAGCTGGTGGAACAAGTGACATCTCCAGCACTGAACTCAGGACCTGAGCCCCCATTTAATAAACATAAACAAAGGTGTAGTCGCAGCTTGAGAATTCTTCCTCCAACTTCCTTCGTGGTCTCTACCATGGCTACGCTAAAAGGACTCTGAATAATGAGCTGAGGATATTCTGTGACTCACTTCTCTCCAGAGGAACAGGGCCTACTCATAACTAAGCTTGGCTGCTCTATAACAGAAGGGGCCCCACCCAACCATGAGCTGATAAATACCTGCAGACCAATGGAGTCCGACGCCAAGGCTGAGTTCATGGCATTAAAACTATCCAGAGCTGATGACTGGGCTTGGATGTGATTCTCTAGGTAGTCCTGCTGAGCTTGGGAAACCTGCACAGATGGAGGAGAAAGTCACACAAAACCACTCCACACATACAACAATCTTCACTTGCCTGGAACTTTCTTCTGATAGTAGCCAAATCCATCTCAATAATAAACTTTAAAAGAAAAGTCAACATCTGCATGAGAGAGAGTAGAAAGGGAAGAATACTCTTCCTTAAGATCCTATGAAGTCGGCCGGCGCCGCGGCTCACTAGGCTAATCCTCCGCCTTGCGGCGCCGGCACACCGGGTTCTAGTCCCGGTCGGGGCGCCGGTTCTGTCCCGGTGCCCCTCTTCCAGGTCAGCTCTCTGCTGTGGCCAGGGAGTGCAGTGGAGGATGGCCCAAGTGCTTGGGCCCTGCACCCCATGGGAGACCAGGAGAAGTACCTGGCTCCTGCCATCGGATCAGCGCAGTGCGCCGGCTGCAGCGCGCCGGCCGCGGCGGCCACTAGAGGGTGAACCAACGGCAAAGGAAGACCTTTCTTTCTGTCTCTCTCTCTCACTGTCCACTCTGCCTGTCAAAAAAAAAAAAAAAAAAAAAAAAATCCTATGAAGGCACTTCAGAATGTGGGAAATGGAACTAAAAGATGTTTCCTTCGGTGAAAAACTTTTTGAAATCCATACATGTGAGGCATCTTCAAAAAGTTCACGGAGAGCCAGGCATCGTGGTGCTGTTAGTGAGTCCTGATAGGGATGCCCACATCCCATCCCTGAGTGCCACGCCGAATCATGGCTGCCCCACTTCCAACCCAGCTTCCTGATAACGCACATCCTGGGAGGCTGCAGTGTTGGCTCAAGGGCCTGGGCCCATGCTAACCACATGGGAGACCCCCATGGAGTTCCAGACTCCTAGCTTCAGCCTGGCTCAGCCCTGGCTGTTGCAGGCATTTGAGGAGTGAACCAGTGGATTAAAGATCTCTCTCTCTCTCTGCCTCTATTCGTCTGTGTGTATGTGTTGTCACTCTGCCTTTCAGGTCAATGAAAATAAACATTTTTTGAAAGTTCATGAAAAAATGCATTTATGAAAAAATACATATGGATTTTTTTGCACCCAAATACATTTTGTTTACAATTCCACTTTTCCAGAAACTTCCTTAAGTACCCTTGTATTTACACATCCACCCACAGAGCATCATTCATTCCTCGACCCTGTAGCACAGAGCCTCAAGAACACTGTACAGAACTCGAACACTGCTCTTTTCAGGGAAGAAAGAGAATCAGAGAGGCTGAGTGGTTTGCACACAAACAGCTCACAAGTGGCAAGCTGGAACCTGAATCCAGCTAGCAAAATGTCTTTTGTCATCTTGCTCTTTCTATTTGCTCCAGAAAGAATGTACTTTGAATTCACTCCATTCTTAAGAGTTGTTTTGTGGCTGTCTTTGTCGGGTGTGTGTGTTTAACATGCTTGAAAAAGTTCCATCAGAGGCCACACTTAAGCTAGACCTTAACGAGGACTGAATACAGAGAGGTGGGGGGGGGAGGGGGCAGGAGAACTCGAGGTAGGGGTTCCCAGCAAGGCTCAGGGGTGGGCCTTGGTGTGGCCTATGGCAGCCACAGGAAGCCACACAACAGAGCAGGAAGTGCACAATGGGGAGCGGGGGAGTTGGAACAGCAGGCCCTGACCAAGAGCCAGTGACATGCTTTTGTCCAGCCGCATGTTTACAGAGTAGCAGATTAGCGATCTTAATTTGCTTGCAGAGAGTGTGATGGCCTAAAGAAAGGAGAGACTGTGGGCAGAGAGGTGGGGTTCCGGGGAGGGTTCGAGCTTGAGAAAATGAGGACACGTAGGAGATGGTGATGGACAGCAAGGGGTAGAGTCTTGTATATGCATCTATTGCAAACAACCCCACCCTTTGGCTTTGAGAACCGTCATCTGTGTCTGCCAGTGGATGGCCCAGTGAATTTCCATGAATAGGCAAGAACTGCACAAAAGTCCCCCTACATGATACTGAGAATGGGCTGGGTAGATATGCTTAGATGCCGGCATTCCTGTAACCAAGGCGCTAGGTCTTCCTTCAGCAGATAATCTCACCATCCAGCCACAAATGGAACCGTGCAGCGTGACTGTTAAAACTGCTCCTCTTGCCTGCAGCTTTTGGCCCTCATGGAGAGTATGTCATACAGTCATATAGTGTGTTGTATGCATGGACTTTTATCTTTGGGAAGAATAACAGATTTTAATGTCACAAGCATGAACTTGGTTACACTAGAAGAAGTTTTTTTTTTTTTTTTAACTTATTCATTTGAAAGGCAGAGTTATACAAAGAGAGGGAGAGAGACTCAGAGAGATGTTCTATCTGCTAGTTCACGCCCTCAAATGCCACAATGGCCAGGGCTGGGACAGACCAAAGCTAAGAGCCAGGAGCTTCATCAAGGTCTCTCATGTGGGTGTAAGGGCCCAAGCACTTGTGCCATCCTCTGCTGCTTTCCCAGGTGCATTAGCAGGGAGCTGGATCACAAATGGAGCAGCCAGGACTTGAACTGGCACCCACATGGGATGCATTACACACTACGCTACAACACCAGCCCTGGTTATGTTTCTTACATTTTTGAATAGGTACTATACTCACATGGTACAAGCATTTAGAAAATGTAAAAGGTACACACTAAAATCTCCCTTTGACTCCTGTCCCTTCTGATTGATAACCAAGCAGTGCACCCCTGTCTCCCAACTAGGAACTACTACTAATTACTTTTTTAAAGATGTATTTATTTATTTGAGAGGTAGAATTACAGAGAGCAAGATGCAGAGATAGAGAGAGGTCCTACATCCGCTGGTTCACACCCTAAATGGCCGCAACAGCCAGGGTTGGGCCAGGCTGAAGCCAGGAGCCAGGAGTTTCATGCAGTTCTTCCACGTAGGTGCAGGAGCCCAAACACGTGGGCCATCTTCCACTGCTTTCTCAAGCCATTATCAGGGAGCTGGATCGGAAGTGGAGCAGCCAGGAGTCAAACTGGCATCCATATGGGATGCCGGCACTACTGGAGGCAGCTTTATCTGCTATGCCACAGTGCTGGCTCCTAATTACTTTCTGAATGATCCTTCTAGCAACTATGCTACATCTCTGAAATATTTCCATATCTCTCTGAAGGGCTTATTTGTGTGTTTTTTTTTTTCATTTATAACTGTGTGTTTTATATTGTAGAGATTATGAGGGTATTTTAAAAAGTTCACAAAAAATAGAATTAAAAATAAGTCTATTTTAGTGCCAAAAATTTTGGGAATCCATGTATAGTTTTTTTCATAATACACATTTTTCATAAACTTTTTGAAGACTTCCTTGTATGCATGGATTTCAAAATTTTTTGCACCATAATTAACTTATCTTTTAATTCCATTTCCCCAGACTTCTTGAAGTACCCCCATACAATTTATTTTACTTTCCCCTTTTCAATGGACATTCGGATTCTAATATTTTTACTATTATAAACAATGCTATAATAAATACATTCATCCATAGAGCATGTGAGAGTGTATCTGTAGAAGAAATTCTTAGGAATAAACTGTAATGGGAATGCTTTCATATTACTCTTGCCACCAAAATTTTAGTTTCAATAATAAACTTCATCCTGCAATAACACTCCTTCAGTTCAATGAAAACACGATCTGTTAGAAAGCAGGCCCCGACAGGAAGCTCAGAGCTCTGCCATCCTCCAGGTGTCCCCCACCAGTGACGCGGGACTTACTGAGAGTTCCCGCGTGAGCTGTCGGATCTTCTGTCGCATTTCATCATAGTCTCCATACATCCGCTTCCTTACTTTTTCCAAAGTGGCTCTCACCTGCAGGCCACAAAGATGCTGGTTAGAGATTAAACTGTAACATTTTCATGCAAGAGCTCCAAAACTTTTAAGAAACTCTAATGAGAGAAGGACCCACAAAAAGTAATCTTATGAACAAGATATTTAGAAAATGAAGAGAAATGATCCATCCAGTTATAAACCAAGGGACTATCAAAATAATAATAACCTTATATATGTAATTATAAATTATTATAATTATTAATAAATATTGGCTATCAAATGATAAAGAAGAAAAAAATGGTTTCTTGAAATTCCTATCACCCTCAAACCACATTTGGTCAACTTTCCCTTTTCTCATCGTGTAGTTTTATAAGGGGAAATTTTTAAACAAGAGGACTCTATAAACACATGGCCAAGGGGACCACAAAAGTCAAAATGCAAAAGGCAACACCTAACTTTCCCTATCTCTACTCCAGCCACCACAGAACAACTAAAAGTCTGGAACACAAGGCAGGAAATTATGAGCCCCAGAGAGCCTGCAAATGTTAGAGTCCTTACTAGTCACCAACAATCTACACCACCACAAAAAGGAAGGTGATCCCCAAACACTTGTTGACACAAACCCTGTGGTACCAACCACTCAGAAGAGTAACAGGGCCTTAATTTTTTTTCAATAAAACAAAAAAACCTTACAAACAGTTGCTTCTTCGGGTGCCCTACGAGGGACAAAGGAATCCTCCAAGAGCACAGGAAGTCTCAAGAGTTTTCTGCAGGTGCACTTCAGAGTTTCTATTTTAGGAAGTGCTGAAAGGCAGCAACTTCATTAGACTGTGATTGTTTAGGGCGCAACATTCGGGAGACTTAAGGATGGAGGTGGATTTGCATGGGAGCACACTGTTTTAAATTAGACCGCATATTTGTCATGGTAATAGACATGGGTAGAGACTGGCAGACAAGATCCCAAGCCTTGCCCAGATGGATTCTAACGATAGAGTCTACTTTCTGCTATAAATAACTACAATGATTTATCTCTCCTCTAGGCAGGCAGAATGGCTTTCATTTATGGCCCTGAGCCTATCGCTGCGTGGCTCATCAGTGGGAGCGGTGCAGTCTCGAGCTGGGTGTTGGTCCCGCTGGCAAACGCTGCAGGAAGTCAACAGGCCCAGAGCGTCTCTCATCAGGGACAGAGAGTAAACAAACTCATAAACACACTGAGGAATGACCACGCCAGGGAGGGATTTGAAGGCAGCTTTAGAAGGAGGAACCTGGAAATTAATTTCAAGTTGCAGATTACAGCGATGTCGGCAATTCCAGGTCAGAACCAGCCCTGCAGCTTGGGCACGTGTCACTGTGCTCGGGATCCGCCTAAACCTGGTATCGTTCTCTTAGGCAACTGAAAGCTCTGGACTCTGCTTAGAAGGTTCACCTCTGAAGCAATACCGTTCTATTTGAAGCATTTAAATTAGAAAAGTCTGGGGCGGGCACCGCGGTGTGGCAGGCTGAGCCTCTGCTTGCAACTCCTGCATCCCATATTGGAGTGGTGCTGCAAGACCTGGCTGTTCTGCTTTGGATCCAGCTGCCTGCAAATGCACCTGCTAAGCATCAGAGACGATGGCTCAATTACATGAGCTCCTGCCACCTACAGGGGAGACCCAGATGGAGTTCTTGGCCCGGTTCTGGATATTGTAGCCATTTGGGAAGTGAACCAGCAGGAAGAAGATCTTTCTCTCTCTCTCTTTCTCTCTCACCCACGCCCCCCCCCCCCCGCCGGCGCCATCACTCTGTCTTTTAAAAAAAAAAATCTTTTTTAAAAAATGGCGGAAAACTGGGGGGTTGGGCTAATCTTGAAAGGGAAAAAAAGGAACAGAAAAGGGGGGGTGGCTAGAAAATTCCTTTTGGGGGGAGGAAAAAGGTGGGGGGGTTTCAAACCCATTTTTCACTAAAAGTGGGTATGAAGTTTTCTGGGTTTTCCCCAAAATTTCCGCCAAGGAAATATTAATAATTAATAATTTATTAATATTATTTCGAATAAATTTTAATTGAGAAGAAATTGTCTTTTACTGCCTCAAACCAAGTTTATGGGTAAGAGGAGTCTGCGAGTGAACCCAAAACCCCCCCAAAAAAAGGGGACGGGGGACTGAGGGGCTTTGCCTGGGGATCAAACCCTTCCCGGCCCCCGGCTACACCAGAAAAACCCGAAGCCTAGGGAGAACAATAGAGAGATCCGGGCCCAGCGGACAGTTCTGGGCCCTGAAACAGGGCTTAGGGGTTCGGGGCTTGGGGCCTGCCCCCTCACAATTGCAGGGGTTTTTACAGATTTGTTAGAAAAGGCCGTTCTGG